CCTACTAGGGCGTATGCCCCTTGAATGGTTGTGTTGTAATTATTTGTACTAGTAGTATTAGTATTTGGAGATGACCGAATTACAAGAATTCAACCAAAACACAGAGAGGGATGAATTCAGGAATATTTATTTGGCGGAATTACTCTTCAATTCATATAAGATATATATTCACAATCAACAGTAAGTATTTAAACAATACAGAGATAGAAATTTTGAATCACCACAGGTTGGTTTTCTTTCCGACATGAATCGATACAAGCTTTCGGGGTTCATCAGGAGTTTTCGACAATGTTAGCCTGAGATGACCTCCTGCCACTCCCAAATTTCCCTTTTTACAGGACCCTGGGTTCTAGGTATGTGCCACGTAAACTAAGCCTTTCGCCTTGCCCGCAGAATACGTTGCGTATTTTTCTTCAGTCATGAGGACCTATTTTGGGCTGCATTGGGACTAAAGGGACGGTGTCCGAGATTACTGAATCAATGATTTCTTTTACCACTTCCCAATTTTGATCCACAGATAACTGGTCCCATGCTGAGAGACAAGTGCGTCGAACAAAGATCTCCGCACTTCATCATAGTCCTCCTTGTTATGACACAGACCTAGTCACGTAGCGTCCCACTGCAAGTGCTAACGGAGAACAAGATCAAATCCTATAACCGCATGGTCACTACTTCCTGAATGAGTCATGACCTGAAACCTTTCGTTGAGTAGTCGGTCACTAGTTAGGTTATAATCTAGTTTCGATGACTCTCCACTAGGGCCCCACCTAGTGTCATCTCCAACATTCTCAGTCAGTCCTGTATTCCGAATGGTTTGGGGTAGATTTCAACCGAATTTTCCCTGAGCATGCCTCGAGCCAAGGTTCACTGATGGGCTTTTAATCGAATGGGTTATAAGATAATCGGTTATATCAAATTTTAGACTACATGATTCCTGTCTGAAGGTTGCTTTTTATGAACCTGTGTTTAACGATTTGTGACTATCACTTGCCAACATACTTGCGTTTTTCTATGAGTTTTCACGGCAACTTTTGTAGGGATGACATGACACCAATTAACATTTTGGACGAAACAACTTTCTATCAGTTAGCAGAAACACATCCCCTCCAAAATATTTTCACAGCCGTCACTGTCTCTTTGATATCAGCCTGCTGTGTGACCTCCTTGAAAGTTTTCCCGCCTCACCGAATAAATAAATGTCACCTTCAGACATTTGAAGAAACTTTCGTATTAGTTGTTAAATCAGACGTATTCTAGGAACTGACTCCACGTGCATCGGAAGATAATTCCCCGAAATCATTGGCCTACGGCGTCCTACAGTCAGTACTGGATGCTGGCCATCACTGCTTAAGGAGATTCGTTGAGATCAAAGTAAACAGTCAAATATTCTCGCCATTCGAGACCTTGTCTCGTTAAGTTCGTTTGTTCGTGAAAGATGCTCAGTCAGCCGAGCAGCAGTCATTGAAATTCAGTTCTCATCCCGAAATACATCTCGTATTTCGTATGCTCACTCTGGTGTTTTGATTCGCCTATAGTCCGATTAAAACAAGTTCTTCTGGAGCTATAGGGTAGGAAGTCAACTTTATATACCACTTATCTTGCGTAACCGCCGACATCATATCATCTCCTAAACATTCATATGGAATATACTCCAAACAGACTTTAACATAATTGACATTTCGTGGGATGAGAACCCATGCTGAATTTCATATTAGTTACCGGAAATAAAAAAATTTAGCTATGAGGTGCCCTTAACCATTTGCGTTATACTCTAATAAAAACTCATTGGATGCTGTCGGATTCATTTCTCATTATCCTCTCTTCTCCTTCCTTTATATATGCCGTTTGGAACCAAGACGCAATTGTAGTGGTATTCTCGCTAGTGGAGGAGACCGATGCATGGAAAGATACACAAACCCCTTGAACTGCACATGGTGTCTTCAACGCCTTTATCTGAGTCCCTTCTACTAACTCCATTAGAGCGCAACTGAATTCTGATATGGCAGTCAGTTAGCCATCAAAACTCGAAATTGGTGACTGTGGCAACAACACTACTCTTCGTATAGTCTGTATGCAGTGAAATCAGTAGCAGAGGATTTTCTGTGCACATATCATATTCACACCAAAAGCAGTGAAACGCACCAGTAATCCAACGACCTACCTGCCAAATAGTCCATTACTTTCGTAATTTACTCCCTCGCCAGTGTCTTGCACTGGGTTATGGCTGCACACATCTGCCCCACACTAAACAGAAATAATGAAGTGACTGGAAGCAGTTTGGTGAAAAGAAGAGTAGCTGTAGGACACTGATGCGACGACGGGTTCTTGTGGATTCCCTTTGTGACAGGCGAATCTTATTGATAAGTGTACCAAAATCAACTTATGCTTGGAAGCCTGAGTGAGAGACAGCGGATCTGATCTACTCTCAGTGTATAGTTACTATACAATGTTCATGAAAGTTTCAGTTCACACGACCTTCAGTTTACTAAAGCATTCAAAATTACGAAGAATCTTTTCCAAGTTTATAGTGAACGACTGACACTAATCACAACAGCCTCAGAAGACAAACACCAGGAACATCATTAAAAACGCAAAAAATTTCCCTCATCAGCAAGTCAGAAGAGACCAGTCAAAATCTCTTCAAAGGTGTGATCTGTATGCAACACCAACTCATTTGCAAGCTCAGAATGAATTTCCTGAGGTTCTGTTGGAAAACCGTGTCCAAACCATTGGATTCTAATCAAGTGACTGAAACGCCGATAGTCCTGAGGTTGATAGTCATAAGGTCATGGATGCGCACTACTAATAGTCCAAGACTAGGATGAAACAACCATCTAGTGCTTCGTGATTTTCATTGATCCCCTGACTTGATGGGACATCGTGATAAAATCTCTAGCAATAATCGAAACCCCTGCAAAGACGGAATTAAAAAATGGATGGTGTTTTTGGAATGGCTGATGTAGAGTTGCTAACAACCCACTGTTCGGATCCTGACGTAGCAATCTCCCGTCTTAATCAAGTTAGTTAGATAAGGAAACCCAACTAATATTTAAGTCATGGATCTTATAAGTAAGATTACTCTTTTAGCTAATCACAAACGTATTGTCCTCTTCTTTTTTTAATATTGTATATTGGACCAGCATTGAGTACCGTTGTTAAATTGCACCAGTAACACAACATAGGTCGCACTTAAAGGGTGACTCTAAAGAATAGCGGCCCAAACCGAAACGACCTTCAAACAAAAAAGTGACCTTGAGCAAGGAATCAGCTGACTGTATCATTTTCGGAAGTAATCATGGATGATTTCGATTACTGTTTGGATAACGGACTGATAGCTTTGTCGAAAATTTGCCAATGCGGGCAAAGTTCAACAATAGCGTCCCAAGGGATGCGAATGCACGAGTGACCTTCAGCCAGCCAATCATAAAAATGAGGAATTTTTGCACGAAAAATGACGTATATTCACAAAAAAATGCATGAAAACACATTAAACGGATTAAATTTCTCTGATATGACTTAAAAATACGTTCCAGTTGCGATGAAGAGTATCAGTTGCTAATTTGGACTAGTTTCTGTAGATGTATTCACCAAAATGACTGAAGGTGTGCTGTTTTGGGAATGGTTTATCTCTCTTCTCTTGCTGTGTAGTCCTCTCCTAAGCCCTCGATTTAGTTACTATGGTTCCAGTAAGAGCATTGGCGACTACATACAAGAGAAATAAGGATCATAAAAGAACTTGAAATAAACGAAAAATCTATTCCTAATCGCTACCGTAACCCTAAACCCTAACCCCTTACCCTAACCCCCCTAACCCTAACCACAATACTCGCCTTAACCCCTATCCTAACCCTAACGAGATGTTAACACATTGTCCAAACAGTAATAAAAGTGTTATCTGGGTGAAATTTGCTCCCTATTTGATGAATAGGGTTGATATTTCAGCTATGATAATGACAGGAACCGTTAGCCAACGACTAGCATGCGTTCAAGGTCATTTGAGCGTTGAAGGTTTTGGGACGCTATTCTTAAACTTCGCCCCAATGCGGAGGAGTTATGCATATACAAATATACACAGAGGCCATTGTTGGCTTTGTATACAGATGTATTGAGTGCCAAAGGAGGAATTCGGTTCAAGAAGGTCTGTCGTTGTTTTTTAGTTTATAGATCCCTTAGGAACTTTTCTCTCAAGGTCTAAACTACCTTTGACGAAAATTTTAATGATCTGTAACTTCTGGGTCCTGAAAAGAGCAGTCACAGCTACAGCTTATGAAACAGAAAATTCAGAGGTGTCAGCAGTGCAATGGTACAACTACTGCAGAAATGTTTCCTCCTGGAAAATGAACACCCTGACTCAAGTTCTCGGAGGAGTCGGCAGCATAGTCCATATTGATGAGACTGTACTTATAAAAAGGAAATACAACCGCGGGAGATTACAAGCAAACTAGCAGTGGATACTGGGTATCTACGACACGACACTGCGCAAAGGGTATATAGAAGCGATTCCCAATCGCAGTGCAGCAGTATTAGTGCCTATTAATAAGCGTTTGGTGTTGCCGGGGACGACTATTCATACAGATGAATGGAGCGGATACCGTCAATTATCGAATCATGGGTACATTCATCATGCTGTTAATCATACGGACGGTTTCCGAAATCCTCTGGATGGAACCCACACCAGTTCCATTGAAAGTTTTTGGAGTCGTCTAGAAAGACGCATAAGAGCGGTTAATGGGTCGAGAAATCCCATGATTTACAGTTACCTGCATGAATTTATGTACCGAAACTGGTTTCATATGACTATGAAGACTCCCATGAGAAATTGGGAGGTTGTTTTGCAACATATACGCGAACGCTATTCTTTGTAACTGTTTATTATGATTGCATTACTTACATATAAACCGTTTTTTACAATTATGCGCCTTTCTTTTTGAGCCTTCTCATTGGCCGAAGTTGTCCCTGTCAAGGTCATTTTTGCGTTAAAAGGTCGTTTCGGTTTGGGCCGCTATTCTTTAGTTACCACTTAAAGTGAGCTTGTAACCAGATATTACGCAGAAGAGCTTTTTTGTTTCAGATTTTGAGTTAATTTTGTCATTATATCTCAGATTTCCAAATGTTTCAGCCACTCGAAATAATAGGTAGTTCTTCAAGCGCGGTACGTATGTATTTGCCGTATAGTCGACACTCCGACTACTTAATTAAGTATATGATCTTGTCGTAATCAATCTAAAGCTTAAATAGCCATACGGGGAGGTGAGTTTCCCGTGATAAATGTATGTCTCGATGCATTGGGAGGTATCTGCTACAACAGCCATGGCTCGAGTCATGGTCGACCAGCCCAAGCTTATTACAATCCTGAATTAAATCTCACTAATTCTGAAATAATTCTAACATTCTATAGTGAGTAAATTCTGAATCTGTTCAGAAATGGATTATTTAATGGCACAGACTTGAACTGAGTGCTGGTTTTCAGCATGACGGCCACTAATTCGACACCCTGTTCTTTTTCCTAGGTACTTTTAAGAGTAGATCCGAACCTACTGGGTTTGCTTATCAGCGTTGTTCCAGCCCCCACAGAACGTATTAAGCACGGAATAGCGTTACTTCAGAACAGGAAGACTTAATTCAGAACCCAGCTCCCTTTTCAAGCACGACCAGCGTTATTTCAGAACATAGTGGGTAGATAAAATCTTCATTTACCATAAAAAGGCATTATCGAAGAATAGGCTAGAATAAGTTTAGAATTGTTGTAAGCTTGGGCGCTTTCACAAACGACAGATTTTAGGACGTTTTTGGGGTTTTATGAGGCACGTATGGGGTTTCTGAGAAATATTGGGCTTTTGTTGGAGTGTTACATTTTCCCAAAATAATGATTATAGTTAAGACTACCCCGTCGGTCATTTAAAGTGAAGTGATAGAAAGTCTAAGAGTAAGGTAACTAAACCAGATATGGATTACTAAGGTATGTTTGGTGTAACAATAAGATGATTTTAGGAATTGTTGTTAGCTCAGCGCAAATCACTATGTACCGCTATGAACTTTGTTTTCACAGCACGTAAAGGAAGACAAGAGAAAAAGATATTCAAAGGAACTATAATAGGCGGAAACGAAAGGGAGGAAGAATAACAACATAGAAAAACAATAGCCCAGCAGGACAAAAACAGGTGAACAATGGGAATGACCTGTTATAAGAAAATGGGCGAATTTTGGTTACATTACGAGATTTTTACCATTGTGATGACTATTTAACCTGGATTTGCCCATTATAATGCTCTTCTTATTCGACCAACCATAGTGGGTCTTTTGTCCATTATTTTAGCATTATTATCATCTGCCCAGAACCTGCCCATTGTAGCCATTGTTTAACCATTCTCTGTCCATTTTGGTCCGACTGGGAAGGTTTCATTGAATATGGGAGATCACAGCTAGTGAATACATATGCGTCACTGAGAAGGACTTTGATACATACCACCAACTGTCTCCAGCCATTGCTTTTTAGCATGCCGAGGATCACAACCAGGTAGTCTACACCTCCGTACGTTACTCAGACTAACTGTTAGAGATTTTATGGGCTGATTCTAAATTTTAGTTTGACCACCACTAGCTCTTTTCCAACCTGATCATACCTATGCTCCTCAAAGCGTTCTAAATCAACATGATTATACCTTGGTAACAGGTCAGTGCTTCAGTTACTGAAGTCATTTAGGATCTATTTCATTAGTGCATCTGTTATGAAACTATACAGAAATGGGGACAGTGTGTATCCCTGATGGAAATCAATGGTTGTCATTACTTCAGATGACTCCATAAGTTCTAACACGGCTCTTTCAGTAGAGTCCCTTGATTAATGTGCTGTACTTTCTTAGAACTCCCTTCACGGCCAAACATTGCCATAGTACATTTCGGTCGACAGAGCCGAATTTCGCCTTTAGGTCAGGAAATATGTCAATTGTTGGACGCAAGTGTGCTTATATTCCAGAATGTTCAAGGGCGAAAAAATAACCGATACACCCTTTTGCTGATCTGAAGCCTGCCTGGTTTTCTCGCCCTTCTCTCCAGCGTTACTTAATCTGTGCATAACATTATCATGTAACTGAGTATAGAACTGTAGATAACATATTAGTCAAGCTAATCCCTCTGTGACCATCACAGGAAGACTTATCTGCCTTTCAGGTTAGGACAATCAATGATTTAAACCAGCATAGTGCGACTGTCCCTATTTCCCAGAGATTACTTAGGACTTTAGTTAACTCAGCTGGCAATTTGTCACCACCTTTCTTAAGTATCTCTGGAGTCATTCCATCAGGTTCTGCTGCTTTGTCTATTTTCAAATTAGAGACAGCCTTTGTTGCCTCAGTTACAGATGGAGGACCTGTGTCTACATCCCATTCACCTAGGCTGATGTTGAGTGCTGCATGTTGGATGCTAGGCAAATTGTGTGTGGCTGTAGACCAGTTAAATTGTTCCTTAAAATGTTTCCAACACTCCATTCATCTATCCTGAGAGCCAGTTAGGGTGCCACTTTTCTAGGAGATTGTCTCACTTATCACTTGTTTTTTGCCACCTGTTTCCTCAGTAAGCGTAGATTTATTTGTTTATTTAAACGCATAAAAAACTTGGTACAATATGGCACCAAGAAGGATGCGCCACACAATAGTAATAAAACAACATAGATCAAAAAGAAAAAAAAGGAAGGAAAAGAAAAAAATATATAAGTAGAGAACGGATAAAGAACTTCAACTGGAAGGAAGACATTCATGCTTAACAAGTTAAAACAGTGTTCGTTAACTATCATCGTGAAGGGAAAAAAGAAGGAAATTGCAACACATTCGCCATTGATTACGATTCTTAGCCATATCCGATAACGTTTCGAGCCATCGATTTGAGCTATCTCTCGGATCACAACCAGGGAGTCGTGACACACCAACCGATGCTAATCTAACACAAAAATCCTTCATCCCTCGACGCCACGTCATGGATTGACCACCTCTCCGCCTTTTCCATCCCGTCCCAGGGCTAGCGAACAGAAACCTGTACCGGAGCCTCTGGGGTGACATTCGAAGCACATGTCCAAGCCACCGGAGCCGGTGTTTCCAGATGACGACACTCAATGAATGGTGATCTCCACTGTGTTCAAACACACGCCGCCGAACCTCAGAATTACTCATGCGATGATGCCATCGAACTCAAGCAATCCTGCGGAGACAGCGGTGATCGAACACGCAGAGTCGCCGCACATCCTCAGCCCAGAGAGGCCAGATTTCACAGGCGTAGACCAGCGCAGCTCGCACCGAAGCATTGTATACCCGACCTTTGACAGCCAAGCTAACGTCACGACGGCGCCAGAGGTGGCTCAAGTTGATGTATGCCACCCTAGCCTTCATTATACGGTTGGAAATCTCATCCGTTACCCCTCCGCCACTACTCACACAACTACCCAGGTACACAAACTTATCAACAACTTCAAGCGGTTCACCTGCAAGAGTGAGTGCAGGTACAGGCTCCTGCCAATCTTGCAACAGTACTTTGCACTTAGACGGCGCAAAGCACATACCATACTTACAGATACTGATTGCCAACTGATTAAGTGCGATTTGGACGGCCTGCTTGCTATCGCACAGTAAGACGATATCGTCTGCATACTCCAGGTCGAAAAGTCTATCTCCAGGTAGCAGATCTACACCACCTTCACGCACATCCTCCAGAGCTGACTCCAGAATGTCATCGATGGCAAAGTTAAAGAGAAATAGAGAGATTGGGCAACCCTGTCTAACCCCACTGTTGGTTGGGAACAGTGATGATAATTGGTTGTATGCCCTCACTCTACCTGAGGTGTTTCTGTATAGGGCTTTCAGGATGTTAACAAATTTCTCAGGTACACCTCTCTCTAACAGACAGTTCCAGAGCACAGTTCTGTCCAACAAATCGTAGATAGTTGTCCGGTGTTACCTATCGCCGACGCCTCTTTTGCTGTTGTCGCCCTCCACCGTTCACGGTCGTTGCAAAGACTTTTTGTCATTGTGCACTTGAGAAGCTTTCGCTCTCCATTATATTCGGAGCTCTCCGTATTCAGTCTTCTTGCGTCTGTCAGTTTGGAAGAAGTGGCAGAAATCCACTGATTCTTACTAACCTTTGGTTTGAGGTTATCAGCAGCCACACACACTTAGGTTTTGTATTCGTGTGCCTCTGAAACACAACATGCATCCATGGCTCGAGATCCCTAAGTTGTTGTTAGTGATACCTGTTGACCGGTTTGGCAAAGAGTTTCGAAGTCAAAATTGAATTACATACTACCTCAGCGCCTAAGGTTTACACATTAAATCTCCAATATACAATTTCCAGCGTCGCCTTAAGAGAATATCCGTAGTGTTTTTCCAACTCTTGCCACCATTTTTGGTCACAGAGTGCCAGTGGATTATTATTAACTGTAGGTGGAAGGCAAGATGATCGTGACTTAGATAAAGGTGACTGATGCTCAGGAGAGCTTTGTGGGCTTCTGGAAGTGTGTGGGTGGTTGTTACTTCCCGCCTGTCCACACCATGGAAGTTGGTTTTTTCTGGGAGTAACTAAAATGGAAAGAGAATTAGTGTTGCATGACCTCAGAATCCAGGGGACAATTGCTTGAAGCTGGTCACGTACGGCCTGTTTGAATTTTGTTTTTTAGTTGTGTCCGTATTAGGATCCTAACGCTGTAAGGTAAGTCAGGATATATAGTTTTTGCGGTCGACGTTTTCTAACCCTCCTCTCCAGAGTGGAGAAGTACATAGCTGGCATGCTGGTCATCTGAGGGTAATGCCTTACTGCTGTTACATCCCTGTTCCCCAGCAGTAAGACTTTGCCCTCAACCACCACCACCCCCCCCCAACATATTGTAAACATCTTACACTATGCAGGTAACTGTTTTTAGTCTAATAGCTATTCTAACGACCTTTCCGGAATGGTGGAACCTCTAAGAACATCAGTTCCAGCTAGTGTAGCTCGGCGGCTCATTGCTGTTTGCAAGCCTGACGGCCACATCAACGTAGCAGCTATCGACCAGGGCATAAGTTCTGTCCTTCATAACAATTATGCAAGTCATTTGTATTATTACCATTATTATTATTATTATTAGGTATCTAATTTTATTCACAGTATCATTTTCATTCTAAACTCTTGTTTTCAATCAACAGTAATGCTGATACCTAATGGCCTTGGCTCATTCTTATCGAAAAGCTACTTCAACTATAAAGCGTCATTTCTAAAAGACACCATTATTGTTATACATGGAGATGATTTTATCAATTTTATTCTAAAGGATGTGATTGGCCACCAAGATGATCAACACAATGAATGCCTCATGTTTTCAATCAAAGCTTTCAAACTGATGTGGCAGTTTCGGACGTGTGGAGTTCAACCAATTTTCATCTTCAATGGCTACTTTTATAATATTCAAGTAAGACATAAGTATTATTCAACTATTTTGAGTATACGACATTATGAAGTGGGGAGTTTTAAGATATTCAAATCTAATATTCCGGTTGATTGTCTATACTAAATAATCGGTACAATTTCTTTTATTTCAAAAGAACAAGAGCAAATATTGAAGCACAGTAACGTGGTTCCATATTAGTTCGTAGGTCGTCTTCAGTTGAGTATAATTCCTGACACTGATTAGACTTCATATCATTATAAGACTACTTGAGCCATGTCATCTTCGATCTCAAGCCACTGGCTGTCAGCTTCTCGAGGACACCAGGCAGACAGTCTACACCTCCGTGACTTAAACTAACAAACAAAGACTACGCATGATTATTTAACCCAGAATTTTAGACAATATACTAGTTGAGCTATGCTTATCAGAGGGAGACTTGTATGCCGGCTTGTAAACTCGGACAATCAGTGGTCCAAGAGGACTATCCCTCATTACTCCTTTGGAGTAACCCAATTAGGTTGAGCTCTTTTGCCTCGTTTTAGATTATACACAACTTTTGCAACTTTATATATATTTGGACGACCGATGTCTGCGCCCCACACAGGTAGGTGATGAATTCTGGGAAAATCTAGTGTGGCTGTAGGTCAGCTAAACTGCTCCTCAAAGTTTTCCGTCTAAAGTCCCAGTCGTCTATTCTGAGGGATAATTGAAGTACCGTTCCTCTCGGAAATCACTAATTTTTTACTGTATGTTTTCCTAATGGGTCAAAATAGCTATATGGTGTCACCTACCGCTGATGCCTTTCCCACCTCTGGCTATTGTCACCCACTATTGTTCACGATCATTGCGGAGACTTAGTCAGCTTGCATTTGAACAGATTTCACTTCCCGTTATATCTGGAGCTTATCAGGGTCAGTATTCTCACATTTTCCAAGTAGGAATGTGGTGGCAGAAATCCATTGGTATTTACTAACTTTTGATTTCGGACTATCAGTAGTCTTTACCACTGTCTTTATAGCCGACTAGAAATTGCACCAATCTTACTCATGATGAGTCTTGTTGTCAGTCTCAGATGTGTCTGGTTATTTCTTCCTTGAATAAAGACTTCACGTTGTCATTACTTTGGGGGCAAAGCGGCTTCACAGCCAAATGTTTCCTGGGTCACTTCATCCGTAGGCATATACGTGCACGGGCTGAAGCAAGATGAAAGACTACGCTATTGTTCCGGGAGGAGCGATCGTCTTCTACTGGCAGATTATTACTTTTTTAGTCCATTGTTGATTTGATGAAGGGGATCGGCAGGTGATGATGAAATTCCCTTCCTTATTTTTGAAATTAGTGCTAACGAGGCCACAGTTGTCGTGATGTATTCATGTCTGCTTCCTTGATACCCATTTACGGTATCAAGTACTCCACATATTGTGATCTGGACAAGGAAACTGTAAATGAAATTTGCCTCGAACTGAGTGAATTTTTAATTGCACATTGGTGTGCAAACTATGAATTAGATTTAACGTATTACCGTTTAGCTGAAGTAGCTGGTCAGAATTCAAGTGATTTCAACTGTGACTGGGTTCTCTGTGCTAAGTTATACCTGGTACACAACTTGTAATCGTTGCTCCGAATGAGCGGAACGACCATCCGGTACTTAGATCAATTCCACCTGGTTAGCGAGCACCACTGCTTAATGTGAATGGTATCCAACTTACTCGTAACTCTATCAATCAGTATTATATAGCGTGAAAACTGTTTTTAGTCTAACCCGCTATCTAAACCGCCTTTCTGGCATTGTAAAACCTGCAGGAATAATCATTTCAACCAGTGTAGATGGTGAGGTGGGCGGTCATAAGATACGCAACCCCGACCAACACATTAAGGTGGTAGTTATGTTTCAGGAACTTGCTAGAGGTTACCAATGTGTCAGTCTGAGGCCATTTAGAAGTTCATTCACCCTTGTTTACCTCTGGTCGTTTCTAAGAATGTAAGACTGGTTCCGAACAGTGGTAGATAGTAGTAGTTGATTGTCATTCAATCTGAGGAACCGTTCAGATATATTTCAAAAGATATTGATAAATAGGTAATTCCCAAATTCATTTCTCCGATAGGAAAGCAGTTCAAATGTCAAGAAAATCCAACCAATGTTCTCTCAACAATTGTTTAAAATTTCGTAACTGGCGTCCTTGACATGCTTGGAACTTTAATGCTTTTTTTACACAAGCACTGACTTATTACATTCTTATTGTCAAAATTTTGAAGTTCTTCGCAATTCCTGCGTAGTACTCATGTCTTCTGATTGCAGCAGTGTTCTTCTTTTCATTTGGCTGTCTTAAAGTTCAGCAACCTTAAAATGATTGATGCATGTTTGCGTTCTAAGTTGACTAGTCAGGCTTTATTGAAGCTAAGCCTCACTCTGAGAACAGTTTGGAAATCTGCTTCACTCTGCAGTATAAAGAACAACATTCAGATTTTCAACATCAATGTTAAGTGACTTCTATATGGCTCTACGGAAAGCATTTCTAACAGCTTACTGCATAGTTTTATCAGCAGTTGTCTTCGTTAGCTCTATATTGAAGAATAGATGACCGGGCAGAAAGAATTAACAATACGAAACTCTGGGAACTAACCAATGAAGTACCTATTGTTCAATAAATATTCCGGAAGAAATCGAGATATATTGGACACACTCTGAGGAGACTGTCGACTGATATCGTGGGTTGAGCACGCCATTACTCGAGTAGAACTCGACTGAAAAACTACCAGTTGGACGTGTGCCAAAGCTGACAATCGTGGAGCCAGATAAAGAGGACAAAGTGGAGATTTGTTGTTGAAGGCCTATGTTTCACTGAGAACCCGAGGGTACAATAATAATAATGTCTTCAGTCGAATGTTGGCGTTCGTTAACTATGAATATTTGAATACCATATGGGTTCCAAAGTAAACATTTTTACCAGAACTTTATTTTTATTCTATACTTATTTCATCCAGTAATTTTCTGATTTCTTTTTTTTTTTTGTAAAACAGTATCAGTTGGATAGTAGTGATCAAATTTCATCTGTGATCAATCGCTACAAATCAACTTTCATGGATATTTTAAAACGCTGCAATATGGCATACATGACGTCGTTTTTCCTAGGTCACTTTGATGCAGCTGTCTTATCAGTGTATTTAAACTGTCCGCTTATAGCATCCAATTATGATATATACTATATGTTAGCTGTTCATGTTAATACAGAGAAGGCAAATACCATTCAAGAATTAACTTACATGCCCATTCACCTTCTTGACTTCTCTATCTGTGAAAATGAGCCTTTTATCTTATGTCATGTTTTCCAACAAAAATGTTCTAATTTGTCATCAGTACAACCATATTTGTGGCCGGTGTTAAGTGTTTTATATTCTGAAAGTTCAGAAACACGCTCGTATTTATGTAAGCAAATAAAATGTGATCGGACAAAGTATTCCAATATGACTAACGCCAACCTGCAAGAATGGCATCTTTTAGTTGATTGGCTTATGAATTTATTTGATATGAATTCTGTAACAACCTATGAATATATCATTAAATTATATGATATAACAAAGCGACCAGTTATTACTGCCTACCTACTGGATTGCGCTGCCTTTCTTATGAGTGATATGCAAAAGAATGGACACCTAATAGCCTCTTACTTGAATCTAACACCATCAAGTTCTTTGGCGTGTTTGCGTACACTAGATGGAATTGTTAATAGCACGCCAATGATATCTAAATCTTTGCAACAACTTAACCAATGGGCGAAAGCATTCAATGTTAACTTGTTGAGTAAATTCAGTTATCCGAAGAATTGGCCAGTTAGTTGGATAGAAGTATATCGTAGAGTTAAATTGTCCCCAGTCATTATTAATGTCCTGGATCAATTAAATCAATCAGTTGAAAAGTTATTTCCATCAGTTCATGCTTATGCCGTCAATTTAAGATTGATCATCTATTGTAGTCTACAGGGTTTAAAAAGTTGTAAAAATATAAAACAGAGTGTAAAGATAATTGACTATGCGTGGGATGATAAAACAATGAATAAAATCACTCTGAATATTACTCCACTAATGAATGATCCTTTTGGAAGTATTTCAGTCGATGAAATGTTAAGCAATCAATTGAACATCTTGTTTCTTCCGGATAAGTCAGATCTTGACTGGATTTTCAGCCTAGCCTTTACTTTGGCCTTATGGTATAAACAATACTGTCTTAATAACCCAAACTGTACAGACTGTTTCGAAAACTCTCCAATTGGTTTAGCTATTGCAATATGTGCTATCGCCAATGTATTCAATGATGAATTCGCCAGTCACAAGGTACTTGAACACTACCAACGACTAGTTGTTCTTATCAGAAAAGAAGTAGCCGATTACCGTGAAAGAAATCCACCCACAGAACAGTCAAGAAGTCCAGAGACGATAACTGCAAATAATTCATCTAGTCTAATTGCTGTACAACACATTTACAATGAATTGCGAACTGTTGTCTCATTGCTTAACTATTTGATAAGAAGTGATAAACTTAAATCGAAATTGTTTCACTTTCAACCCTGTTGGATTCTATTTCCTTCCGTTGATTTAGTTGACAGTTTTTCGCACTATATAGACATTCAATTACCTTCAGTTCGATTTATTCATCTTCAGTGTTACTGGCTGGCTCGTCTGTATTGTGAGAAACGATCAACAGTTAAGTTGGACAAGTTGAAAAATGAATTTGAGCATTTAGTTAGCCTTGTCTCATCGCTTTGTGAACGATCATCATCTATGCTAAATTTAAAGTCGATCAATATGGAAGAAGTTAGTAAATTTCCATAAATTTATCGACATATTTTCACATCCAGTTGAAGATTATTATTAATATATAATATTATTATTATTATATAATCACGTTTGCCAACAAGACTAATAAACTCCATCAGATTTGAACATATTTTATTTTTGCTTTGTTGTTCCATTGTTCACTAATTAATTAATTTTACATGTGTTTTTGTTTTGTCGGTTAATTTATGCAATAAATTTACCAATAGACTAAGGTTTTTCAGTTCGACCAATGCAATTTATATATGAGGTCTCTTACAACACCAATGAGTGAGTGATGAAATTAAGCCTTTACAGGATATATATATATATCTGACTCTTGGTAATTGAAGAAAAATCTGAGTACCTTTGCCGTACACTGCGTATGTGCTAAATGCTAGAGGTGTCTGGTTTAAAAACAGTATGTAAATCGGTCTTATGTGTTGCGTAAGGTCTGTTCTCTGATGTAGGAAGGTTATTTCGATGTGTAGTGCTCTGCGTTATCTATGACGTAAGGTGAGATATTTGATGATCATCCATAGGGAAGAGAGCGTTTATACTGTATAGTGCATTCTGGTCTGTTACGCTTACAGAAATATGAGGTGGAGTAGTTGAAGACAACACTTGCGAGATTACTAACCTACAGTCTTAAGTGTTTTAAATCGTGGTAAACACCCAACGGGATTAATTAGAAAGAAGAGAAGATGAAGTCCAGAAAAGATATCTGCCTTTTCCGCGATTTCATTTTCAAAAGCAGCTCTGTACAATCGCATTTAAGTACATAATTTCACTTACATGGATACATTTTCTTGTTTGATTACACAGAATTACGACAGCGAATAAAAGGTGATAATTATTTTCAACTAGATAGATGGTTTACGAGAGGCTTAGAAACAAAATTACACAGGATTAGAACGAATTACAGGCGTGTAAACAAAATGAGCATGGAAAAAAATTGAAATAATAATTTTCAACTTGAAATGGAAGTTAGGAGGTGTGAATATAGATTACAAGAGGCTTAGAAACAAAAATTACACATGATTAGGATATAATTGTGAATCAGTTGTTTTAAACGAATTATAAATGTGAGCAGGACAAGCATGGAAACAAACTGTTCTTATAGCTGAAAAAATAGGGCGAATTGAATGAAGACAGAGAAGTAAGAGTCACATACGCAGCAAACAAGAAAAGATATAAAAACGGAAGCTAAGTGTTTTATCGTAGTAACTAGTCCACATTCGATCAATATTACTTAATCACTCACAACGCCCAAGTCTCTGGATAACTGTAAAATTGAGGGTCAGAGTAGAATAAAGTGAGATATTTTCCCAGTTCACGGCGTGCATCGTATAAGGTGACGTTACACAGTGTGTATGAAGTCGAAGAAAAGTTTGGAGACAATGCTCGGGGAGTTGCAATGACATCTTCCAAAAGTAATCACAATACAGCGTTATCTACGTGAAGGTATGTTTTTGTAATCCAGCGGACTTACTGAAATATATATTAAGTAGGCAAATAGATGCTTTATATTCTTGTATATGTTAGTCAAAACTAGTGGACAGTAATTTACGTCAATGTTTATGTCCCCAATATTGGTCGTGAGCAAAATGAGAACAAAGGCTTTGTGTAAGCGGATACAGTTAACATATAGATGATCTGACATTCAAAAAACAACCACAAAGAGATGCAAGGTTAACTGTCTGTGAGAAATAACCAATCAGAGGACTGGGCTTTTCTGCTAACAATAATCTATAAAAATGTTCATGAAAATTTATGAATATGTGTTGACTTCGTAAATAAACGATCTGTTGCCTGTCCTTGTCGTCTGTTGTTACAGTATAAGTCGACAGGTGGATATCAAAGTAGGTCCACCTGTTCGATCTCAAAAACCACACGAAACGCGCATCCCGGATGCTGCTTTAGAGGTTGACGGTATGGACGTTCGCGAACTGTACGGAGTGTACTAACGCAAGATCTTATACCAATAACTTCTACATTATTTGTTTCTCGTGTACCAAAGGCAAAGCAAAACACCACAATTGATTGTCCAAATTACGAGATATATTTTGGAAGCTAAGCTAGCTAGTTATCGTGCACGAAGGAGTAACAAATGGCGGGGATGCTTGACGGGAAGCCTTCAGCTAAACAGGTCGACTTAAACTCTAAGGCTCAGCATCCAATGTTCACTGATGATTCTTATGGTCACGATGTAACTCTTCTCTTAGACATAATCTATTCCTGTGGTCAATAATTTGGGGGAATTATTTGCCGCTATAATACTGTGTGCGTCGGTGGCACAGTGGTTAGGACTCTCGCCGACCATGCACATGGTCCGGGGTTCGAGCCCTCGCCGACGAACACCTGATATCTATGGTCGGCCTGCAAAATTTGGGCTACCGATATCCACGCTGAAAATTCCATAAGTGTACCAAAAAAATACAGTGTGGAATCAAGCTGTAATCAAAAAAAATACTGCTGACCAGCACTGAACAAGCCACTTCTACTTCGAGTTGATAACAAAACAATTCCAGCAGTTGTGATCACGGGCAGTAATTTTGCTCGAAATATTACCAAAAAACAAAACTTATCATTGTGTGTAAACTATTACAATATAATTATAATTTTCATTCTAATAAAGGTTTTCTTGTATTTCCCAAGGAATGAAAAACAAAACGATTTTGTTGCTTTTACTGACGTTTCGCTATCTAAGGATGCTAATAGCTTTATCAAAGTAGTAATATTAAACCAGAATTTACAAACTCCACTCAGCTTATATATAACGAACAACTTAATCATCGTTCCTCAGTGTGGGATCATTCTTGCGTTTTCAAACTGACCAATTGGTAAAGATAACAAAACCAGGTGTAGATGACTGTTGGATTTGATAAGTGTGTAAAACTATAATTATAGAAGCAGCGTGTGTTTACATAATGAACTTACTTATCACATTCGTGTTGATCTTGTCACTTCATGGGGGAGAGATGTATTGTAACCAGTCCATCATTCCTATTCAGACAATTCGGATTCCATTCGATATGAAGTGCTGGTGATGATGTAAGACTTTCTTTTTGTGATTTCTGAAGTCTTCTTCTGGATTATTTCACTATTGTCAAAATCAACTTTGTGACCTGATTCTATAGCGTGTAGACAGGCTATGGCTGATGATTTTTCGAGTTTTTCTAGTTCAAGTGGATTTATTTATCGGTTGTCGAACAAATGGTCTACGTTGTTCATTTCTTCTGATTTTGATATTTCTCTAGCGATGTTTGTCCAATGTATATCGCATCACATTCCAAGCATTTTATTTATAGACACAATTAGATAGAGAATCCTCAGTGATTTGGTCTTTTATATAGACAAGGTTGTTTCACAGTGTGTCTGATATTTTGAATAAAACTCTGATTCTGCGCTTATTGAGTACTCTTCTGATATTGCCTGAAGTTTCTGACCTATATGGAATGACAACAGTTGATTCCCATGTCTTTGGAATACATTTTCTGCCATATTTAATGCCAGTGTTGATTTTGTTGATGAAGTTCTTTGGGTAGTTATTTTGTTTGACAGTCTCACTGGTGTTTGATATTTCTTCTTCTCATCCGTTATCAGAGATTGTGCTCGTCTGAGAAGACTTGAAACAACTGATACCTTTGCGATGATCGGGTGTGATGATCCGAAGTCTAAATATTTATTGGAGTGGGCTTTCTTCCTGAATATAGATATACTAAAATTTCCGTTTTCCCTCGTCTTAACTAGGCAGTCTAGAAATGGTAGTTCACCGACGTCTGATTCTGCTTCCGAAGTAAACTGGATTCTGGAGATACACAGTTTATTTTCTCCAGGAATGAATTGTGTAGATCTCATTTTAGTACTACAAAAGTATCATCCACATATCTTAGCCATATTTTAGGAGTGAGTATGCTTGAAAAGATTTTATCTTCGAATCTATTCATGAAAAGGTCAACAACTATTGGGGAGACTGGTGAACCCATTGCAACACCATTTGTCTGTCTATATAAATTCCCTTTAAAAGTAAAATAATCACTTCCTAGACAGAATTTCAAACTGTTAATTATTTCACTGGTGTCCAGTGGACATCTTTGTGACAGTGTTGTATCTGGTTCTAGTAGACTGGAAATGATATCAAGACTTTCAATAATAGGGATACTAGTATATAATGAGTTAATATCATAGCTTATCATAATGTCTTCTTTATCAATTTCCCGGTGTTCTATTCGGATTTGAAATCATATGAATGACCTGGGTTCAACACCCTCCTCCCTTATGAAGTGACAAGATCAACACGAATGTGATAAGTAAGTTCATTATGTAAACACACGCTGCTTGTATAATTATAATTTTACACACTTATCAAATCCAACAGTCATCTACACCTGGTTTTGTTATCTTTACCAATTGGTCAGTTTGAAAACGCAAGAATGATCCCACACTGAGGAACGATGATTAAGTTGTTCGTTATATATAAGCTGAGTGGAGTTTGTAAATTCTGGTTTAATATTACTACTTTGATAAAGCTATTAGCAGCAGCATTGAATAGCGAAACGTCAGTAAAAACAACGATATCTTTATGTTTTTCATTCAGTCGTTGGGAAATACAAGAAAACCTTTATTAGAATAAATATCACATACCCAATGCCCAAATTTTTTCAAACCGTTAAAAGTGAACTTGGTTTGGATATAATTATAATTTATTTTACTTCTAGTTTCTTCCCTGTTCTGTCATAACCATTGATAGATATGGTTGGAAACAATCATTGCTTGTCAATGGCCAAAACAGTTATCCCATTAACAACATAGACTTTAGTGAGGGAAATATTTTGACGGGTCATTCCCAAAGGCTGTATATCACAGTTACGTGAGACGAATCAGATGAGTAAATGTATTCGCAGAGATAATATTATGTCCTAGTATTAAGGAATAACAGACAAGTGTTAGAATTCGGAAGCAGTTATGTAATACTGGAAGTACAGGGAAGTGTAGAAACACAAACTGGAATACTTATTCAGATTGACGAGAAGTTTTACTATAAGGCAGGAGAAATTCACACGTTGGCAAATTACCAACCTCTCGAATAGCAAGATACCTAACTGACATGAATCAAGAGATTGTTTATTAATTGTGATTTACTTTATTTTCAATATATTAAATATTCCCATAGTAAAATTTAGAACAACACATTTAAGAGAACAATACTGTGGTTTCAATTAGATTTC